ACAGTACTAGAAAAAGAAAAAAAAAGAAAAAAAAATAGAAGAAGTAATAACCTCTTCAGATCTTCTTGATGGATGACGCTCTTTCTTGTGCCCAACAGTCTCCCAACCTCCATCGGTTGTCCCTTCACCTCCTTCCTTTGAAAAAAAAAATCCCAAATCAAACCCATAAATTTAGTACCATAAAAATCCAAACTTTTGGCCCACCATTCCATCAAAAGGAGCTACCTTTCTCGAATATCCACTAAAGCTTTCCTCATTTTCATCTTGCCCACTGGAAACCACCTGAAACAACAAGAAACCCCAGACAAGTTAAGTTGAAGGAAATCATAGTTTATAATAATAATAATAATAATAAATAACATTAAAAAAATAAAAAAAAAAAACAGAATTGGATGATGAGAGACCTCAGCCCAAGTGGATCTAGAGGCCTGGTCAATGGCAGGGGAGTCCTGAGCTCTGTCGCCATCACGGCGACCTCCATCTCTGCCTAAAGCTACATTGATCAAGCCATGGACTAGATCCTCCATGAATCTCTCTCACTCTGTTTGGTTGGTGTTGTTTTATTCAACGGAGTGAGGGAAAAAGATGAGAGCTTTGTGGGATTGAGGCTGCCTGGTTTTAATAATAAAGGTGGGGTTTTTAACCATGAATTTAATAATGGAGGTAGTTGAGGAGTGTAGACGCAGATAGATGGAAAGGGAAGGGGCCGCGTGGGACTCTGGCGGGTAAAGAAGGCACACCTATATTTTATTTTGGGACAAATTTTCAAAACAGCCATCTTCAGTCTTTTATTCTCAAAAAAAGACATATTTCGAATTTATTTTCAAAAAACCGACCTGGTTTCAGTCCTGGCGCTGAAACCAAGTCGGTTTTTGAAAATATTTTTTCAAAACTTCACGGGAGTTGAACTCCGTGAAGTTTAGCATATTTTTAACTAACTGCTAAAAACTTCACGAGATTTCAACTCCTGTGAAGTTTGTTACAGTGCAAAAACTCCACGGGAGTTCAACTCCCGTGGAGTTTCAGTCAAATTTTGCAGAGAATCTCTCTCTGAAAAATTAAGCTTGTAACTCCACGGGAGTTGAACTCCTGTGGAGTTGAAGGTTTTACAAAACATGCGCAACAGTCTATGCACATTCTGTATATACGTAACGTAACTCATATACGTTATATTTACATGTTAACAATAATTAATCTCATATACACTGAATTACAACAATATATACATAATTCAACCATGAATTAAACACGAATCAAACAATACTCACAAAGAGTACATATATAAACAATAATTGATCCACAAAAGTATAGTATTAAAAATTCATAAAAGTTACAAATTTTAACCAAATAAGCTCACATACAACACAAAATAGCTCCTCTCCTTCCTCTCCCTCTCTTCCCCTCCCCCTCACTCTTCCCCGCCCCCTGCGTTCCTGTTGATGAGCCTCGGTTATCTGAGTATCCGGTTGTGTATGAGGTTGAGAAGCACCGGCTCCATCAGCATGCGAAGTGTCGGCTTCATCGTCACGTGGCCGTCGTCGTCGCGTATACGCTTGCCCAAATGATCGAGACATGTTCTCACGGCCTGCAAACTCGTCGACGTGAGTCTTATGAAACACATGTGCTATTGTCTTCTTGATCCAACGCCATCGAATCCTGAATCTCAGGCATGTGTGCATCAATATCAGCTTCAATGCTATCAAAAGCACGGACCTACGAGATAAACAATTTATTAAGTACTATATCAATAAAAAATGTTATAATTTAGCTTAGAAACTTACATAATCTCTCGATCATCCCACTATGGATGTAATTATCTGTCGGTGGGCGTGGCATGTGTCCAGGTGATGGCTGTGGGTCACGCGTAATTCATCTACGTGTGATGTCCCAATACCAACGCATATACATGGTATAGTCAACAGCTGTGTCTCTTGTATCCTGTATGAAATCCCACCTGTGAGTCCACCTGTCTATGTAGGCCGCACGAACTACGGCCCAATCGGTACAGTGCGATGTAGGTCATCGCCGACGATCGATCTGCTCGATAGGCTTTGGCACATGCTGAGAGAGCAAAAATTGCCATAGCACACGGTCGGGGGCATGCATCTCCACAATCTCCCAACAGATCAATGGAACTCTGGCTCTCTACAAGTCGGGACTATCTCGACAGATAGGTGCAAGAGTATGCATATCAAGCTCCGGCAGTGAATAGGGTCTCCACTTGAACTAAAATAAGATAAAACATTTATCAATATCAATAACAAAACTATAATATTCATAACGAATCGAGTTTTATATTTACATGTTCGTGTTAGAGGCCATCTAGCTCATTTCGGCAAAACTCACGATGTCGCGTCGCTGATTTGTAGTTAGCGTACCGCACATTATACCTATTTGGCGTAAAGAATATATGAGTTTAAATTCAGTTGAATAAAATTGTATGGACAATTATACATGTATGCCAAAGGAAACTATCTCTGTAAGTCACGGTGCACAAGCAAAGTCGGGCTGCCAACATGAATGCGCTCCTATGACCAAATCTGGATCAACGTGCAGCATCCCTTGAATTCTTTATTCTGCATTAAGGATACTCTACTCAGTTCTCTATACAAGTATGCCAACACCGCACCGCCCCACAGTAGTGCGCCGCATACACCAAAATCCTCCAGCAGTGGCAGCCATCGTGCATGTACAAGAGTCTTGCTCGCATCAGGAAATAGCATGTATCCTATCATGTGCAATATGTACGCACGAGCATGAAACTGAAGCGTCTCAATGGAGGCATCTGCTGGTATATCTCCCTGAAATGTCTGACGAAGCCAAGATAGCTTCATCGCACCACTCCTCAAGTCGGGAACCTGACCAAGAAGCCTAGCACATACCTCAGCCCAATTATGGTCATCGATGCCTGTAAGTATCGGACCATCGATGCAGAGCCTAAGTATGATGGCTACGTCCTGTAAGGTGATGGTACACTCCCATATATGCATGTGAATGGTGTTGGTCTCTGGCCTCCACCTCTCAATCGGTGCAGTGATAAGCGGTCAATCAAGCCTAATATATCGCACTCCTGGAACCCGGTCTGAGCTATCAGCTGTAGTACTCTCTCATCCTCAATGACCCAAGCCGAATGACTCTGGGAATGATCGACCATGGTGATGTCTGGTACGGCTGCACGTCAAACAAAATTGATTAAATATATTGAGAAAAATTAAAATTAGTGCCAATGCTAAGAAATATATATACCAAAAACGTTTTACATGTCCTGAGCCAATATTGTCTGAACAATGACTTGTCTGGAGGTACAAAACGTTGGGATGTATCGGTCCCGGATCCATAATGAATATATCTAAGATTAAAATATTAGAAGACAATGTACAATGTGTTAGATATTTCAGTCGAATGGCTGACTTAGTCATATATAAAAAATATATTACAACAAACGAATATTCAATGTGAACAAGGAATAATTTGAAATCAAACATTAAAATTAGATCCCAAACATCGTACGAAACGCTACAAATTATAATTACGAATGTTATATGGGAACAAACATAGTGCAAAACGCTACATATTACAAATCAATGCCTAATCATAGCTGGACAACTGTTTTTGTTGTGGCTCGGTTGATCGCATCTACTGCACTTATTTCTCCTCCTAATTCCTTCATGACCATCATCCATACTATTTCTAATCCATACTATCATCCATACTGTTGATAGTTGTAAGTAGAATATCAAGCCGTGACGAATTCATAATGTGAAATCCTCGCACCACCCTGTAGATCAGAGCAAGCCGCGACAACATATGAACAAGGAATCCATTGTAGTTGCGGTACATTACAAGTGCACGTATATGAGTGATCCACTAACATATTAACTTTGTAAGAGCGACTTTCTCTATGTGATATTGGAGTGCTTTTAGAATTCCTTTCATCCTATCAGATATGAATGTAATCGGTTGCGTCGTCATACTAGAGATATGATATCTAATGCATGCAAAAAACCATGCCCAATTCTTTGTGTTTTCAACATTAACCACTACAAAACGCCAAAGGAAACAACCCGCCATCCGCGTCAACTCCGGCTGCAACAAACAAAACGCTTTTGTACTTACCGTATAAGTGGGTGCCATTAATGCTAAGAAGAGGACGACAATATTAAAACCCCTCAATACAAAGCCCAAATGCCCAAAATACACTTGTGAACCGTCATTCTCCGCCATCAACAGGGTATGATGATACTTCAAAGACAGTCCCATGATTTTCTCTTTTGAGTGCTTCAAGATAATGTGGTAAGATCTCATAAGATTTGTCCTAATCCCCGAATATTTTTATCATCGTCTTCCTCTTAGCATTCCAACACTTGTTATATGATACATCCAAGTTGGTCGCTTTATGCACTAAAAGACGAATATCTTTCGGCCTTAGATCAAGATCCTCCCTTAGATGCGGTAAAATCAATCGATATATAAAAATAGAGAACGCATGCTTGTTATTCATCTCTAATCGAGGATTGCTACATGTGTGGAGTCCGTTGTATGCCGTGATTTTAAAATAATTGTCTACTCTTACACCCGAGCGTGAATTAAGCTTCCAAGGACATTTCACATTGCCGTCATGGTGTCCACTATTATCTTCGTCTTCGCCATCTTTGCGATAAAAAAAACCACATTATAGCTTGTTATGTTATTTTTTGTTGGCCTAAACTTGATATTTTTTACAATGGCATACGAGCGAAGCGCATGGATCAATTTCTCCTTACTTTCCAAAAGGTCCCCCTTCATGAATGAGAAGTCATCGTCCTGTGTATCATCACCGCTATTAGTGCCAATATGAACACTTTTCATCATGGAGTTATCAATCCATTCTTCTCCTTGAAGTTCATCGGGCAGCGGATCCTCTAAGACGACATACTCATTATTAGTATAACATCCGTCAATGTGTTGGTTGTCTCCTTCATCACGATCTATCAACGTCATGCTATTAATTTGTAAACTGTCCTCTTCATCATCATTCTCGGATTCGAAACTTGCATTATCTTCTTGATGGGCTGTATTAGTATCGAAAGCATTTGAAGTGCCCACAAATGAAGGACCGCTCATGTATTATGATTGTGTCCAACATTCATCTTATTGCGGAAAAAAAAGCCGACAGAGTCAACTTCAAGGTCCTCCAACATGCGGGAGTACATTCCGTCGTGATTCAACAATTTGCCAAATTCCTCTGATGTTTTTCAATAAACAATTCGACCGAACGCTTCTCGTCGTGTAACATTTCAATGAGACCCATATCATAATCACTTGATATTTGAATGCCGCTTGTTCTGTTCCCCACAATAGAATAATTGTAAATAACATTGAGGTGATACTCACGTGAGTTGGTTAATGTAAGTTTGTGTAATTCATTAACCAATTCATCGAAAGTACACGATTTTGTTATAAACAACGGTCTCGTCACACATCCTTCATAAACGGGCATATTATTTTCGAGATAGTTAATCTTCCCATCATATGAACAAAGAATTACGATTCGATCATTCATCATTACCTCTGAAGAGTAAAAAATTCAAGATCAATACTACATGAAAAAAAACTTTAAAAAATGTTACTTACCATTAAGTCCTATATCAATTTTAGTCATCCATAATTTTAACCAAATTCATATATCGATGTCAAACATATGTAGTAACACTAACTTTTATATTTTTGATAATTTCCCTTCTAAATCCACAAAATTATTTAATTTTTCTTCACAAAAATCATAAATAATTCACAATTAATTTCTAAAATCTAATTTTTTACGTGTAATCACCATGAAATAGTGAGAATATACAAGAAATTAGGAGAAAATTTTTTAAAAAGATTTTACCTTCAATTTGTAGATGCCCTAATTTCCGGTGAACTCCGACGACGACGACGGCGAGAGCGATCAACTCCGGTGGTGGGTACTAGGGGCGGCGGCGATGGGGGGCTGAGGGCGGCGACGATAGGGGACGAGGGAGAGAGGGTCTAGGATTTAGGGTGGGGAAGGGATGAGAGTGGTTTGGGAATGAGTTCACGGGTCTGTGCCTTATATAGGCGTGGCCAAACTCCACGGGAGTTCAACTCCTATGGAGTTACAAGCTTAATTTTTCAGAAAGCGATTCTCTGAAAAATTTGACTGAAACTCCACGGGAGTTGAACTCCCGGGGAGTTTTTGCACTGTAACAAACTTCACGGGAGTTGAACTCCCGTGACGTTTGTTTTAAGCAATAAAACTTCATGGGAGTTGAACTCTCGTGAAGTTTTAGCAATTAGTTAAAAATCTACTAAACTTCACGGGAGTTCAACTCCCGTAAAGTGTGAACTCCCGTGAAATTTTTAAAAAAATATTTTTAAAAATCGACCTGGTTTTAGCGCTAAGGGTATTTGAAAAAATATTTTCAAAAATCAACCTGGTTTCAGCGCCAGGGGTAAAACCAGGTCGGTTTTTGAAAATAAGTTCGAAATAGGTTTTTTTAGAGTAAAAGTCCAAAGAGGACTGTTTTGAAAATTTGTCCTTTTATTTTGATTTATTCATTTCAATTTTTATTTTCTTTTCCTTTCATCTTTAATCTTCATATTTTTGGGGACTTGATTCTATTTCAAAATAAAATTTTTATTTTCTTTTCCTTTCATCTTTAATCTTCATATTTTTGGGGACTTGATTCTATTTCAAAATAATATCTATTTTTACTAGAGAAACTTTTTTTAATCTTCATATTTTTGGGGACTTGATTCTATTTCAAAATAATATCTATTTTTACTAGAGAAACTTTTTTTTAAACTCTTAAATCTCAGAATATAGTCATTAAAAGTGTATATTCTAAAAGAAAACCAAACGACTTTATCCTCTCCACAGCTTGACACGTCGGTATTTTTCTTCATCACGTCGGTATTTTTCTTCATCGACTTTTTTTAACATGTGTACTTCTTTAACAGCTATTCAGTATTATTGTGTAAAATTTAACTATTCGTCTAAAACTAAATTGTACAAAAATTAACATGTAATTTTTGTGTCGATTATGAGATTTCATCTTATCATACACGATTCTTTATGTTGTTACCAAAGGAGTAATGATCTATAAGGGCGATGATTCTAACCGTATGAACTAGTCCTTAAGGACGTATGACATGTGCATGGTTGAAGGCGCACATGGGTTGACTTTCTTTCTAAGTATATTTTATACAAATCTATAAGTGCCCAAATTTTAGTTACCAAATTTAAAAAAAAATAGAAGGAAATGATATGTTTGGTAAATTTTTTTTTAGCTAGCAATCTCATTCTTATCTTTCTGACACCTGGTAGTGTCCCGTAGGTAAACAAATAAATATTATCACAACTTCTCTGTCTATTAAATATTAAAAATAGTAACTCGAACTATTAAGAACCAAATATTGTTTCATGTGAGAAACTAAAATAATCTATAAACTATATACTTATATAGTTAGCAAAAATATTAACCCCATAAATATAATCTAACCTCATAAGTTAACAAAAAATGAATGAAAGAATAATCTAGGAATATTTCTTAAGTTGGAGAGTATAATTCCTCCAATTCCAATATTCTCACTCTCAAAACTAGAAATCCATCATATGAGGAATTTCGTGAGATGCTAGAATATGTTTTCAATGTTAAAAAGTGGGAAGACAACATCATCCATGCTTCCCCTGGCTTATGGAACTTTTGGTGGCATGGGTCGCACTTCTTTACTGAGCCCATTTTTGTTTGGGTAAGGATCTCCTCTCTCCCTAATCATCTCTGGGAAAGTAATTTTCTTGCTATTTTGTTCAAGGATGTAGGGGAAGTTCATGCATGCTCTAGAGAGAGAGTCTCTAAAGAGAAAGCCATAGATTGCAAGGTCCTTCCAAAAGTCAAGTGTCATCAAGACATCCCATCTAATCTCTTTTCAGGTAAAAGCTCGCCATCGTCCTTTTCTTTAGACTGGAATGCTCTCTATCCAAATCCTTTGGATGGTCTACAGTCTTCAGACATATAGCTTTATAAGTAAAAGAAAGTATTTCCTTTAAGATCGCCGTGGATTATACAGTTCTTTTAAAGGGGATTATACAGCTAAAACGGACCAATGTCCAATCATATAGATATTCACATCATCCTCATGCATCTTTACACACTTCCGCCATCCACAATGTGGAGCTCGAACATACTCAGCATTGCCTATGCACATTGAATATTACATACATACAAAACCACAGATCTCAGAAAACCAAATGAAACCTTCGGTTCATTATTAAGACCACAGGCATCTCTCTCATCTCGACCAAAATCTACTTAGCCGACTGCAACAAAGTCAAAGCTTCTTTTCTATGTGCCCTGATCTCTACTTTCTTCACTGGAGACTTCGGTCACTTGTATAGATACCTGGCTTGAAACTCTCATTGGTCTCCAGTCTGAATCTTCTTTCTTCTGACGAAGAGCAATGAGCTGGAGAGCTTCGCTCTGAATTTGATACATATAACATGACCATGGATACGAGTCCGGTGCACTCCATATCATCTGCTCCTCAAATTGAGTCTCCTCTGCAATTTCTGAACTGACACAATATGCAGAGTCTAGCGGAGGCTCCTCATAAGCAGCTAATGCTACGCATCCGACTGCTATGAATCCATCCGGAGGTCTAGGCAGCCAAATTGAGAGAGGAGCAATGTAGTCACTGGCACAGTTTCTCCAAACCTGATAAAGAAGTGAAAATTTCACTTAAAGAATCTGAAAAACATGGCGCAGGGATGTATCAAGTTATTCCAAAAATTACAGGTTTAGTGCAGACCAAGTAAAGAGGGTATTCGGGGCACTAGATCATACGGTTAGAATCATCGCCCTTACAGATCATTACTCCTTTGGTAACAACATAAAGAATCGTGTATGATAAGATGAAATCTCATAATCGACACAAAGATTACATGTTAATTTTTGTACAATTTAGTATTAGATGAATAGTTAAATTTTACACAATAATACTGAACAACTGTTAAAGAAGTACACATGTTAAAAAAACTCGATGAAGAAAAATACCGACGTGATGAAGAAAAATACCGACGTGTCAAGATCTGGAGAGGATAAAGTCGTTTGGTTTTCTTTTAGAGTATACACTTTTAATGACTATATTCTGAGATTTAAGAGTTTTAAAAAAGTTTCTCTAGTAAAAATAGATATTATTTTGAAATAGAATCAAGTCCCCAAAAATATGAAGATTAAAAAAAGTTTCTCTAGTAAAAATAGATATTATTTTGAAATAGAATCAAGTCCCCAAAAATATGAAGATTAAAGATGAAAGGAAAAGAAAATAAAAATTATATTTTGAAATAGAATCAAGTCCCCAAAAATATGAAGATTAAAGATGAAAGGAAAAGAAAATAAAAATTAAAATGAATAAATCAAAATAAAAGGACAAATTTTCAAAACAGTCCTCTTTGGACTTTTACTCTCAAAAAAGACCTATTTCGAACTTATTTTCAAAAACCGACCTGGTTTCAGCCATGGCGCTGAAACCAGGTCGGTTTTTGAAAATATTTTTTCAAAACTTCACGGGAGTTGACACTTCACGGGAGTTGAACTCCCGTGAAGTTTAGCAGATTTTTAACTAATTGCTAAAACTTCACGGGAGTACAACTCTCGTGAAGTTTTATTGCTTAAAACAAACTTCACGGGAGTTCAACCCCCTGAAGTTTGTTACAGTGCAAAAACTCCATGAGAGTTCAACTCCCGTGGAGTTTCAGTCAAAATTTTCAGAGAATCGCTCTTTGGAAAATTAAGCCTGTAACTCCACGGGAATTGAACTCCCGTGGAGTTTGGCCACGCCTATATAAGGCGTAGACCCGTACCGGAAATTAGGGCATCTACAAATTGAAGGTAAAATCTTTAAAAAAATTTCTCCTAATTTTTTTGTATATTCTCACTATTTCATGGTGATTACATGTAAAAAAAAATTAGATTTTAGAAATTAATTATGAATTATTTATGATTTTTGTGAAGAAAAATTAAATAATTTTATGGATTTAGAGGGGAAATTATAAAAAATGTAAAAGTTAGTGTTCCTACATATGTTTGACATCGATATATGAATTTGGTTAAAATTATGGATGACTAAATCAATCCACACGACAGTCTATAGTAGACTATAAGAGTAAATTCACACGGGTATTTATTTGGCATGATCCTAACATATTTAACACTAGCATTTTAAGGATAGATCCCATTGCAGCATATATAAAGTGGGATTTCAAGCCACAGATTCGCAAAGGATGTTCATAAAACTCACAAGATCATAACCGATAGGTAGCGCGAAGTATAAACTGGAATCTCTGTAGATGACAGCAACATGAGGTGGATGGATGCCTGCATGTGCTATGTCCCCAACAGAAATGTACCTATAAAATAAATTCTTGCAAGCATTACACCATGACGAATCATTAATCTAAGAAGAATAACTACAGTAATGATCCAATCAATGCCTTCAGGGAAATGTACTGCATGCGAAGTAGGAAATAAAGTTATATTCACAGGTTGTCAAGAAAGTACAAAGAACTCATTTATTCGCTGAAAATATGACTAAGCTAACAGTTTTCTAACAAGAATTTAAAGTCAGCACTGGCAGAAGAGCAGCAGTGACTACCACAGTAATGTTGACATGGCCTTTTGGTATTCTATGTTTGTAGTGATATTTATCCACAAAATCTATGGATAACATCTATTATATCCAATATCTATACACGAGCCAGATAACTATATTAGTGGATACATGAGGAAAAACATAAGCTAAATCTTCATAATTAAAACTAAAGATTGATTACCCATCAGGACATAGCGGCCTCCAAATGCTGCAAATTGCGCCATCGTCCAGGACCTATAAATCAGACGATAGGGTAAGATATAACATGTGTTTCAAATCCCAACACCAGTGATAAGAGAGATGAGATAAAACCTGCTTCGGGAGCAATGCGCATCGACTTCTATAGTCTCGTTCACTGCTCCAGATCTTCTGAAAGTTGAAAGTATGTTTTGTGAATCTCCTATCATCAGAATGTGAGCTCACAGAATTAAATTCTCTTGGTTTAATCATCGGTTTCATCCGGTTATAAGAATCCCTCCCGTCAGTTTCATCCCACGCAAACTGTACATGCCGCTGGCTTGAAGGGACCTGTTCAATAAAATTTTGCAATATCAGCAGCTTTCTACAGATCAAAGCAAGCATCAGTTCGCTGAAGCATGTGCATAACCGTTTACCTTTAATGTCAGTACTTTCATATCAGACTGGTAAGATTTCCACATCTTTCGTATTGAAGAACATATCCTAACAGCTTGAGGCTCTTGTTCCTCGATTTCTTCAACATTGCACTTAATGAGCCGCACAAAGCTTTCTGACCTCTTAAAGTTCTTAAGATGGATAATCAAATGAGACGGTTTTTGATATCCTGCTTTTGCTAACTCCAGGGCTAAGAGCTCTTCCCAGGGTACATCCCAGAGTATCTTGGAGGGCTTTTTATCCATCTTTTCCAGAGCCAAACACTACAGGAGAAAGCAGGTGGCAAGCCAATTTGATAATAAATTAACTAGCTAAATCCAGAAACACAGATCTAAATGAAAAGAGGAGCAATTTTCCATTTTACAACCTGGAGAAGCATGACACGCTTGTTTGTCACAAGAACCACCCTGTGATAAGCTACAATAAAATGATCCTCGTAATAATCAGACCATGCGTATTTTGAAGGCTCTTTGAATAGATCTGTACAACCAAGATGTCGACTAGCTTCTGCCAAGAAAAGGACCATCTGAAAGAGGGGCATAACATACAATCAGCGAGCAATAACCTTATCTAGTATCTAAATATTAATGAAGTAACTAATAAAATCTGTCATTGTACTCATTGAGCTACACGTCTAACTTTAACATTTCTCAGTGTTACAAATTAGTTGTCAAGACAGTATATCCCGAAAGTCCTAAGACATGCTATGATCATGCTTGAAAAACTGATTAACTCATCAAAATGAACTTGAAAATAGAATATATATGAATAAGAAAGAGGAATATAAATGTTATCTAATCAAATATATTTACCTGATACACTTTGCAAGTGTGAGCACAACACCTAAAAACCCTCATGCATGGAAAAATAGTGTTATGATACAGGAAACACTAGACCAAGTATCCATGAACTGCAAATATATTTAACAACACTTCTTAAAGTTTAAGGCTACAATATCACAACGTACTGAGGCTAAGGGACGAGTCAAGTTCATTTTAGGTGAGCACAACCCTACCTCGATATGTTTTATTTTTTTCCTCTCATTTTTCCAGTTGTCCCATGGCAGGAAAATTAGTGTACCCAAAAACCGTTCTCTCCAAACATTTAACAACACTTCTTAAAGTTTAAGGCTACAATATCACAACGTACTGAGGCTAAGGGACGAGTCAAGTTCATTTTAGGTGAGCACAACCCTACCTCGATATGTTTTATTTTTTTCCTCTCATTTTTCCAGTTGTCCCATGGCAGGAAAATTAGTGTACCCAAAAACCGTTCTCTCCAAAC